TTTTTTTTTTTTTTGAGACAGGGTCTCATAGTATTGCCTGGGCTGGAGTGCAATGGTATAATCTCGGCTCACTGAAACTCCGCCTCCCAGGTTCAGGTGATTCTCCTGCTTCAGTCTCCCAAGTAGCAGGGATTACAGGCACCTGCCACCATGCTTGGCTTAGTTTTTCAATTTTTTTAGTGAGACAGGGTTTCACGTTATGTTGGCCAGGCTGGTCTTGAACTCCTGACCCTGTGATCTACCCATATCGGCCTCCCAAAGTGCTGGGATTATAGGTGTGAGCCACTGTGCCCAGACTTTCTTTTCACTTTTAAGAATTGTTGTTGTTGGTGGTGTTGCTTTGGGTTTTTGAGAGACAGGGTCTTGCTCAGCTTCACAGGCTGGAGTGTAGTGGCACAATTAAGACTCACTGCCGAGACCGGGAACGGTAGCTCACGCTTGTAATCCCAGCACTTTCGGAGGCTGAGGTAGGCAGATCACAACGCCAGGAGTTCAAGACCAGCCTGGCCAACATGGCGAAATCCCATCTCTACTAAAATTATAAAAATTAGCTGGGCATGGTGGCGGGCACCTGTAAATCCCAGCTGCTTGCAAGGCTAAGGCAGGAGAATCGCTTGAAACCCAGGAGGCAGAGGTTGCAGTAAGCCGAAATTGTGCCACTGCACTCCAGCCTGGGCAACAAGAGCAAGACTCCATCTTTTAAAAAAAAAAAAAAAGGCTCACTGCCGAATCAACCTCCCAGGATCAACCAATCCTCCCACCTGAGGCTGCAGAGTACCTAGGACTACAGGGGTGTGCCAACATGACCAGCTAATTTTTTCATTTTTTGTAGAGATGAGGTACCACTATGTTGCCCAGGCTGGTCTCAAACTCCTGGAAGCAATGCTTCTGCCTCCCAAAGTGCTAGGACTACAGGTGGGAGCCACCACACCCAGTCAACTTTCAAGAAATTTTTGCAGAAAAGTCTTCAACTAGTCTCGCCTATAACAGCCTCTATTAAAAAGTACTGATGGGAAAACAATCCCCACTCCATGAATAAAAGCATAGACACCTTGCTACAAATGTCAATTTTATTTTATTTTATTTTATTTTATTTTATTTTATTTTATTTTGAGACGGAGTCTTGCTCTGTCGCCCAGGCTGGAGTGCAGTGGCCGGATCTCAGCTCACTGCAAGCTCCTCCTCTCGGGTTCACGCCATTCTCCTGCCTCAGCCTACCGAGTAGCTGGGACTACAGGCACCCATCACTTAGCCCGGCTAGTTTTTTGTATTTTTTCGTAGAGACGGGGTTTCACTGTGTTAGCCAGGATGGTCTTGATCTCCTGACCTCGTGATCCGCTCGTCTCGGCCTCCCAAAGTGCTGGGATTACAGGCTTGAGCCACCGCGCCCGGTGTAAATTTTAACTTTTATTTTGGGGTAGGGAGGTGAGGAGGGGTGGGTATGACAAATCTGGGAGAGAGAAAGAGAGAAAGCTGTCACAGAGGGAAAGATGTAATAACAAGAGAGAGAAAGATATTCAGAAGCATATGAAGAAAAATCAAAGACAGCCATGATCCTAGGGACTCCGTATCTGAAAAACTTACTTGGATTTTTTTCTTTTTAAAGCACCGACTAGAAAGTGCGAAAGAGTGGGAGGATCTACCAACCACAAATTTTTCTAAAAGAATTGTTTATTGGTCAGCAGTTCCTAAGTCAAAGATTGACTATATTTTTAAATTATTTATTTTCTCCCACAGGAAAAAAACACTGAAATAACATGCTTTTTTGAAGTTGCAAGTGAATTTGAATCTTGGCTCTTATGCTTTGTGAGCATTTTCTTTTTCTCTCTTTTTTTTTTTT